AGAACACAAGTATAAATAATCATGTTAGGTATGTTGGATCAAATATATAAGCTTTCAATTGCTCAAATTTATACCATTTCAAGTGATCAACGTTAATTTTAAATGTTGGAAATGACATTGCCATAACTTATTTAATATACATAGAAGCAATCTAAAGATAGTTATTCTATTTTAGTTGTTATTATATTGTAGTCAGCACTACAATTTAGCACTAAACATACCCTTCATGGGTCTTGGATTTGTTTCATTAATAAATAATTGTTTTTAAAGTAGGAACATACTTAGATTTGGATTTCTGAGTCTAAATATAGGTTTGCTCAAGATTTTTTTATTCATAGTACTGAATCAAATACTGTGTGTGAAATTACTAAGCCTTGTTACCATAAAATTTTAAATAATTTTTGGCTTAGTTATAATATTATCAAACATGTTTTTAAGATACTTTACTTAGAAATACAAAGATATCCCATAAAGTTTTTGTGTGTTTTATGTAAGTTTTTTTATTATTTTCCTTAACTTTACTATAATTAAATTGTTACGCAATATTATTGTGTCAGTACAGTGACCTACCATATCTCCCTATTTACAATTTTAACAGATAACTATTGTATTACAGCCATCAGCGGTAGTTGTCAAGAATGAGGAAGAAAATGACCAATTATTGAAATGTTAAGAAGAGATTAAACCGAGACCACAAATCTATTTTAAAAATTTTTAAAATTGTATTACCGTGTTTAAGATAATTGTGTACTTCATAATAATTTTTTTGTATCTAATAATATTGTTATTTTAATAAAATGATTAATTAAATCTACCATTATTTAATGACTGCCTACAGAAAATGTAGTAACCTAAATGAAAAATATATAAGCCATGTTACTTTATAGGTTAATAAAAGAACAATATAATAACTTACACATTTAATTTAATGATTATAGTAAACTTTTAACACACTACAAAATAACTTTCAGTAATACAAACTCAAACTTAAGTATAATAAAAACTAATTCAAACCCAGCCTCACATAGAGCTAATCAATAACATCTACTTTATTTTGTAGACAAATATATTTATTTTAATATTATATTTTCTAATTAGTTTGTAAAAAGTAATAGTTATGAACTATAAATTTAAAAAAGCTTAAGTACTTAAACCATCATGTATGTAATGATGGTATTTCATACTTGTGTAAAGCAGAATAATGTTTTTATCCAAAACCTTAATGTTATATCAATATTTATAAAAATATAGGAACCGAAATTGTACTGTGTTATCATTTATTATAAATTGAAGGATAGTCGAAATTCAATAATTTGAAAATATCTGCACTATTGTGTCTTTCTATATCCAGGGGCCTTGTCTTCTTCTAAGGCAGAATGTAATTTTTCTACCAGGAATTTTGAGATCTCTGAAATTATTAGATTTATAATTTTAGTATAGTAGAAAAATACAAATATTTTACAAAAATTACCTATCTTAACTTATTCATCGTTTTCTGTTCGACTTATCTCTGCTGGAGACAAGACATGATCAAGACTGCATCGAAAAGTTGGTTCTAGGATAAAAATGATATTTTTAATGCTAAAATAATCAAAATGTTTACCTTAGAATATCTATTTACTAGTCTCTTCGTTCATCTCAGCAGCATATGTTCAAGGTTTCGTCAATACCATATAATTTCTTGGTCATTGGAAAAAAGCGATAGTAACCAACGCCGAGAAACCAATTGGTCGTTTCGTGCCTACAATTTCTTCGCCATCTATAGATATTATATGAAGTATTTTTAATGGTTTACATCATTTATTTCATGAAATAGAGGTTTAAGCTTTTAAAGTGGAAACGGGCCTTCTGTAACAATAACAAAGTTCTATTTCACGAAGCCTAATGCTTATATATATAATTTTTTTCGTAAAATATAGCTGCATTGATAAATATTCAATTCAATTTCAAAAATTCTTTATTTTGTTTCACAAAAATTTATAGTGCTACATATCCAGTGTACATTATTTATAAATATTATTTTATAAACTTACCCCAACAATCAACATACATATCGACGTAGGAAAGCATATTTGCTGTAAGTAGACATATTGCAATTGTTCACCAGAGCCAAAAAACTTAATTAATTTCGGAAAAAAATTAATAGTGTCGAACCTATCCATGATATTGTTACCATTTTTGAAACATATATTTATTTAACTGCCAGTCACCATTTGCAATGTAAACTTTTTATCCAAAGTTACTATAAGTACGTGTTTGGCTAGTTACAGCATACAGTTTTTTAAATCACAAACCTTTAAAACGCTGTAACTAAGGAAGAAAAATGTACGCGCGGAAATATTATCAATTTACAGGCGGTAAATATGCTGTATGCAGTAAATTTATGTATTTGGGTACTTTCAATTGCAATTCAAGATGTAAGATGAGTTTATAATTATGATTAGATCTAGAAATGCAGTGGGTCATTTGGTAATGTAATGTTTGGTTGTAATAACATGTTGTAAATGGTAAAAAAAAACTAAAACTGTAGGTTCCCTAAGCTTGCTGTAAGTAAACGAATGTAAAAATCACACGCCGCAGAAATGCTGTAAGTAGCGTTAAGTTTTTAAATGGGAAGAAGTAAGTATTTGTAAAGTAAAAAATGCAGATTTTCTTTTGCTGTAAGTACAAATTGTCTAAAATGACTGGATTTTGGTCTACATACAGCATTTAATCTTACTAAAAAAAATATAAGTACGGGCGTTTTCAACCGCGTATGTAATTTTTTTTTCATCGTAGAGACACAGGACCCGGGACATTCGATGCGGTTTTTTTTTCTGATTCTAATGGCAGTAAAAAGTCACTTTAGGTATTTTGTCTACTTACAGCAAATATGCTTTCCTACGTCGATATAGATTGTCCTATATTAGAATATTTTCACATAAAACAAGTTTTAACTTCGCTAAAAATGGCTACCTCACTGGTAAATCACGATTTCAGCGAGGGAAGAGCAACTTTTAATTTGACGTAAAGAATCTACATTTAAATGAGATGAGATGTCAAATGGTATGTATCAGAATACCAAATATCAACAATTTTGGAGCGTAAGTGTAGCAGTGCCAAATTTTAGTTCCAAATGTGAACAATCTCATTTGAGCGGCGCTTTTGTCGCGGTTATTGTTTATCAGAATACCAAATTGTAACATGACACCGAAACGAACGATTTGACAGCAAAAATCAGCGCTGAGAGTGTGTGAAGCGAGTTACAGAATCGCAGGGCAGATCCGCCACCACCCGCTTCAGGAAGGTCGGTTCCAGACTCTCCACGAGAGGCATCCCCGTACCTTTCAGCCTCTTACGAGCCGATCGGTAGGGCCGCCCCCATGGATCATCATTCAACCCCCGAAGCATCTCCTGATGAGTCCTTTCCTTTGCCTCACAGATAGCCCCCTGGAGAGCCTTCTTGCGATCATTATAGATCAACCGAAGGCCCTCCGTGACATTGGGGCTATCTCCCCTCCTCCGGCGGCTCCTGTAGTAGGCCCTTCTGGCCTCACCACATGCGCCTCGGAGATTGCCAATCTCCGACGTCCACCAGTAGACCGCTCTCCTCCCCTTCGGCGGCCTCCATTTGGGCATTGCCGCATCCGACACCCTTCGGAGACTTAGGCTCAGTCTGCCAGCTCCTTCATCTACATCCAGAACACCAGTGGGCGCACACCACCCCTCGACAATTGCCACCTCCTGCGCAATCTGACGGTCCAGTTGGCATATGGACCAGCGAGGAAATCTCATCCGAGTCTGCCCCCGCACACCCCACCTCATCGAAGTAGAGACCCACATCCGGATATAACGATGATCCGATAGGGTCTCCACTCCGTCCAGCACAGTCCATGCCGTCGTTACCTGGGCCGCCGCCGCAGAAGCAAGGGTCACATCCACCCTTGAACTGCCCTGCGGGCGGACACAGGTGGGAACCTAACCTAACCTAACCTAACCTAACCTAACCTAACCTAACCTAATAATTCCCGCGCAAATGATAGATTAGCCAAAATATCACATACTGTAAATTTATTATTACGCCCGTCCACCAATAAATGTGCCTTAAAACTCGATTTGTTTTATTTTCTTATAGTTTATACTCATTTTAAAGTCAAAGTAATGTTAAATTATTAAATAAACCTTACCAAAATTTTGACAGATGTCAGTTTTCACAAGGAGAGTAATTAGGGCGAGACAAGAAACGAGACTTAGCGCCAATTTCTCCCGTATGTCAATATCCAATATATTTTTGACTAGACGCTATTTCTTTTCAGAATCTATTATTTTTGTACATAAATAAAACATGATCTAATATAATTATATAAAAATGGCCGATAAATTTCGTAATAAAGACTCCATCTATATGAAGAGTGGGTATTGTATAAAATGAAATTTGTTTTTTATGCACCAAAGGTAATTCTAAAGTTTAAAGTAATGTGTAGTTGTTTAATAAAAACTATCTTTTCCTATCATGGGTCTACCAAACGTTGAGAAACAAATTACTGCTGTTTAAAATTTGAATTTTCAAATTTTCTTACTTTAAATAATTAAGTCACGTCACGAATATATTAGAATTTGAGAAATATTAGTGAAGTAATTAATATATATATATATAAATACATGCATACTTTTCATCAGTCACTAGATGGCGCTACTATAAAAACATCGGTAATGTATTGGAGATAAATAATAAAATAACATTGTTAACAATTGTTTTTCGCCAATTATCATCGAAATTTAAATAAAAATTATTTGAAACACCACGATACCAGAGTGTCTCCAAATCATCCATTGTCCATAAAGTTAAAAAATCACTTCATGGCTTCTAAACATTGAAGTTGCCATTGCATTGGGTAGAAAAATATCTGTGAATTAAGAATTTGAAAATTTTAGGTCAAGCAATTAATCTTCCATGCTCCAGGATTGATCAAGTGAAAAAAAACAAAAAAGAACTATCTAATAACCTATATTTACACAAATTACACTGTAGCTTCAGTTGGTTTAATATCCCAAACACCAATCTCATTTAGCAAATCTTTCTTTGATTCAAAATACTCTTTGTACCATAAAATATGGTCCTTTTTCTCCTGTACCGTGTAGAAGGCATTCTTGGAGAGGCCCACACAAACTAACTCCATGAAGTGCCTAATTGGCCCATGTGTGGGACACCAGCCCTCTAGATGGCTGTCTAAAAATATATGTTCAGAGAAATGTACATTTTCCTCTTCTTCCATACCTGTAACAAACATTTGTAATAATAATAATTTTAACAACATTGAGAGTGTAATGATAAATGAAATAAATTAATGGCAGTGATTTCTTTCTGTTAGTTGGTAAGTTAAATTTTGTTTGCTAATTTTGCAATTGTAATTTCATAACTATTTGTAGTTTAGTAAGCCATCCATCATCCTACAATATACAATTTCCGCTTTCATCACTGTTTATTTTTTACTAACTACCACCAGTGGTTAAGCATAAGATAACAATTTGAAATAAAATAAAATTGTAGCATGGCTATCCTTGTGTCTTTTAGGGAAGAAATGTTATCTATGTAATATTTGTATTTTTACTTTGTATTGAGTTTTTAAATTTCTACTCTAATAATTCATTAACTGCTGAGTGCTATCTTGATAGTATTGAAGCTGGTATTTATCTTACCTTGTTCATTATTAATAGGAAACTTCCAAACTTTGCCCTGTTCAGTCCAAAGCAACATCTTCTCAAAGTAGTTAGAGGGTGGTTGTGATGTTGCAAGGGTCAACTCTCGCTGGTTCAAGTGGTCCCAAACTTCTAACTTGGTGCCATAGTTTGTGGGTCCTTGCTTAAAGATACCAAGTGGTTTTCCTCCAAAAACGTTGATACTCATTTGCTGTGACAAACTGTTGATAAAATGTTGCTAAGAAAATCTCATAAACAATAAGTGTTCATTTAAGCAGTTAGTTTGCATGGGTCTCTCCAAAACATTTTACATTTCGATAAAAAAAAAATTAGTGGCGCTACAACGTTTAGATCTGGGCCTCAGATTTCTGAATCGGTTTCATGATCATTTTTAAATCTAATAGGCAAGTAGGTGATCAGCCTCCAGTGCCTGATACACGTCGTCGACTTTTTGGGTGTAAGACATGTTGGTTTCCTCACGATGTTATCCTTCACCGTTCGAGCGAATGTTAAATGCACACATAGAAATAAATTCCATTGGTGCACAGCCGGGGATCGAACCAACAACCTCACGGATGAGAGTCGCACGCTGAAGACGCTAGGCCAACACTGCTCACTTTTACATTTAGATGAAAATTAAAATGACAATTGTAACTCAGAAACATATTTGTGCATCTCTTACACCCCTGCCGCCCATCCCCTGATCTTACTGTTACAAGCTACTAATTAGTAAAGTGTCCACATTTATATTAGGTTTAGTTTATAGTTTAAAGAAGAAGAACAGATGAGTTTCGCTATAACTGTCCAGAATTCTAAAGAATAATTCGTATTTGATTTGATATATTATACAAAATGTAGTTAATTTGTATATGTTTTTTATATATGTAATAGATCCCTATATTGCATTGGCAAGGAATAAGGAATTAATACTGACTGATTCTTTAAACTACATAAAAAAAATTTAGTAATCGTAATTTGTAGGATTTATTTAAATTTTTATAAGTTTTCAAATCTTCCTAAAGTGACATTTTCAAGGACCAAAGTTTCATTCAAGCATTTTATTAATGTGGAACTAATCAAAATAATTAATGTAATTTTGTATTAATGAGGGAGCATTCATAAGCATTGTCAGACACATCAAATTGTACAGAAAAATAATAATCAAACAAGATCAAAAATATTGATTTACAGTCCTTTCAGTCTTGAATCGTAAGACACTGTTTTAAAATTAGATTTTTGGACTATAAAAATAATCAGACATCATTTAGTTTGGAATATTAAATACATGAATTTATTTTGGAAATAGACCTAACAGTAATAAATTACCTCTTTTGCTCAGGCCTATTTTCCCTTACAGTTTGTGGTCTTTGTTCATACTGCCGAGGCCTTGATTGTGCTGCACTCTTACTGGCCATGCGCCTGACTTGCTGACCTCTTGTTTCTTTTCTACCTTGATCTTCTGTTTCCTTAGACCTGTCTACTTTCATACCAACCAGCAAATCACTGAAAAATTTCATAAATTTTGAATAACAACATCTTCCCAGATACCAGAAATATAAATTTATTATATTTTATTACTCTTACCTAAGTGTAGTTGATGTCTGATTAATTTTTCCAAGTACTCGAGACAATAATTCTGCCTCAGTTTGTTTAACATCACCGCCAATTGCCTCAGCTACATCAGGTCATTGGAATGAATCTTCTAACAACCCAGAGTGTTACTTAAATGCTAACCATAGCAATTTGCAACCTCATCAGGTTCATGCATATTTACCAACACCTATATCATCTAAAACAAAAAAAGAAGAATTCTTTACATTGCAAACTGAAAGTAAAGTTACAGTGCCAAAACAATGTGATATGAATGATCAAATGAATTTTCAAAACAATTCCAATAATATTACTTCAGGTCATGTAACTGGTTAGTACACTTACACTTAAATATAATATAAAAAGGTCTTTAAACACCTGCCCACTGAATAAAAATTTATAATCTTTATTTATCATTAGATACCTATATTATACCCATATTTCAATTACTACTGAACTAAGAAGGATTATCTCTTAATGACTTTCTAGGAAAGTTGTAGACAAACATATAAACATAAATGCACTTATGTAATAAAACACACGTTCTTTATTCATTATTAGATACTTATACTATACCCATATTTCAAGTACTTCTCAAGCGAGAAGGATCATTTCTTAATCAAGAAATTTCCTAGAAACTAAGTCATAGTTTCTAGAAAATTTCTGGACAAACATATAAATGTACATGCACTTATGAAATTAAGCTGATGTGCATTGGAAGCATAAATAGATTATCATACTCATATTATCCAATTGCAATATCACATAACTTAAACCTTCTTTTTGAAGTAGGTTAAAAGTAGTATTAATTGGTGAGCATAATGTTTGAAATATAATTTTCAGCATCACTTGAAGGTGATCATGATATGAAAATAAGCAAAGACGTTGTTGAAGATGACTTACATGACATGCTGGTATGAAATACATCTCTTGCCTTTATTTGGTTTCATTGAAGATCTCTGTTGCTTCTACCAGTTTTAGTAGTTAAACAATTTTATTGATATGTACATATTATTATAATTTTTGTTGATTGTGTATTTGTTTAAGTGTTAACTAAATATTATATTTATTGTTGCAATTTTTTGTTAACATTATCTGAAGTTAGGTTAATAAGGTAATAATGTTGCTTGTGCTTAATTAGGGTGGCTTTAATCTTAATGTTTTTCTTATATATTTTAAGAAATTGCATAATATCATCTCCTGTGGGCTTTTGTAACAAAAAGTCAAATTTGGTTTTGGTTAGAATTCAGTAGAGGTTAAATCTGATCAGAAAGTAGTATAAAATTATTCCTTTTAAAATTGATTATTATCATTATTGCAGGATTTTTCAATTTATCTTTGTGTGTGACCTTAACTTGAACATTTTTTTTTCAGGAAACTAATAATTTTAATATCACAGCTTTGCAAACATTGTTTAAGATTAACGTAAGAACCAAAGTTTGGTTTCTTGTGCTTGATGAGGATGTGTTTTTAAAGAAATTAAACTTTATAAAGGAAATTCGAAATGCAGGTATAAAAATATTAGTCTAAAAACTCTAACAAGTGAATGTTACAATAGATATAATAATCAGCATGAAATTAGGTACTTCTAGTATAATTGTACCTACTAGAAAAGCCATACCGTCTAGGTTTTAGAACCTAGAAGTGCCTTTAATGGAAAAATAGAAAATGTAATACAAAATAAATACAAATTATATTAAATGTGTAGACAGTAAAAATATGGCTACAACAAGGACATAACTAAGTAGTACTTTGAAAGTCTTAATATATATATAAATTACGTGTCACGTTGTTTGTCCGCTATGGACTCCTAAACTACTGAACCGATTTCAATCAAATTTGCACACCGTGTGCGGTTTGATCCAACTTACAAGATAGGATAGCTTAGGTATATCTCAATTTATACCTGCAATATTATTTTATTGCAAATTATTTGTTTATTATTTGATAGTCACAATTCTAACAGATGGCGCTGTGTTGAAAGTACCAACGTTTCACATAAGCTACAATTTAATGACATAACCACCAAAAAAAGCATGGTGGTCCCCATGACTGGTGATCTCCTACCGTTTCCCTTGAATAGTTTACTACTATGTAATATAACAAAAACCTTAGCCACAGCAACACTTGGCCGGTCTGCTAGTATCTTATATGATTTAGTTCTATTTACATATATAAATTATAAAAAATAAATCAGTGGCGCGACAACCTCTTTAGGTCTTGGCCTCAGATTTCTGAACCTGTTTCATGATCATTTTTTAAATCTAATAGGAAAGTAGGTGATCAGCCTCCAGTGCCTGACACACGCCGTCGACTTTTTGGGTCTAAGACATGTCGATTTCTGTTAACGCAGGATAGTATAAAGTTAAAAGTAATTTCTTTTCTTGAAAAAAGGATTATAAATCAAACAAGATGTTTCCTTGATCAGAGGTGTAATCGGAATGGAATAAGCAATACTAAAAGCTAAAACACGCCTTGTTCTGTTTGTAGCAGTTAAGACATCTGTAGTAGTTGCTACTCAATAGTATTCAGGCGCTATGCATCAACATGCCCCCAGGCGTTGAAGGCTTGGCTTCAACCAATCCACTTGGCAATGGACAAATTTTCGAAAATGATCGTTTCACATTTCCAGTAGACGTTCTAATCTCTGCGACACGAACAACATCATCTGCACCAGGAAAGAGCGCCACGATGCGACCCAGCTTCCATTTCATTGGTGGCAAATTTTCCTCCTTTAGCAAAACAAGTGAGTCAATTTGCAAAGGGTTTACTTGGGTTTGCCATTTTGTCCGTTTTTGGAGTTCTGAGATATACTCCTTGCTCCATCGTGTCCAGAAATGTTGACGAAGCTGTTCAATTCTTTGAAATCTTGAAATATGAGTATAATTGTGGTCTACATAACTTTCAGTTGGAATAGCTGTGAGTGGACGTCCGATCAAAAAATGTCCAGGGGTCAGTGGAGTCAGATCTTCAGGGTGCGTTGATAAAGGAGTGAGTGGTCGAGAGTTTAAAATCGCTTCTATTTGCGTTAAAACTGTATACAATTCTTCAAAAGTTAATTTAGAGTTCCCTAATACTCTTAATAAATGGTATTTCGTAGATTTAACTGCTGCCTCCCAAATCCCACCAAAATGTGGTGAATAAGCAGGTATGAAATGAAAATTTACGCCATCATTGATGAGATCAGTGGCAAGAGAGTCAGAGTTACGCATTAAGAAATTAGCTAAATCTTTACAAGCCCCAACAAATGTAGTACCATTATCTGAATATAAGTGCAATGGTTTACCCCGACGAGCAATGAATCGACGAAAAGTAGAAATAAAACTGTTACTTGTCAAATCACCCACTAATTCCAGATGTAATGCTTTAGTCGTAAAACATACAAATATAACTATATAAACTTTGATAATACGAGAGCCTCGACCTTGACGAGTAACAGAAGCAATAGGACCTGCATAGTCCACGCCAACAGACTCAAAAGGATAGTTACCGGGAGTTACTCGACGCTGGGGTAAATTACCCATAATAGGAGCTTCAATCTTTCCTTTCATGCGTGTACACCTGATACATCGTCTATAAGTAGTCTTTGCTAAATTTCTACCACCGATAGGCCAATACACTTCTCTTATTGAGGATAACAATAACTGTGGCCCAGCATGCATAAGTTTCAAATGTTCATGTTGAAATATTAATTGTGTTAATCGATGTGTGGACATTAATAGTAAAGGATGTTTTTTATCATATGAAAATTGTGAGTTACTAATACGACCGCCAATACGCATTAAATTATTTTGATCTAAAAATACATTAAATTTCAACAAAGCACTTTTAACTGGTAATTCTTTCTTTTGTAAAAGAATATCATATTCTGGAAAAGATTCTCTCTGAGCAGAACGAATAATAACGTTAAGTGAACTACTTAATTCTGTTTCAGTAAGGTAATTAGTTACAGCGCGTCGACCCTTACACGATTCAATAAACCTAAATAGATAAGCTATAGCACGTCTTAGTCTGTTAAAATTTGAAAAGCGTTCAAATTGAATGAATTCTATAGGATGAGCAATGTTAAGTAAACATACCTCATTACGCATTTCTGGCAACGGTTCACATTGTACTAAAATGGAAGGCCAATCAGTATAAGACTTCTGTAAAAAGTTTGGTCCTGACCACCATATGTTTAGTGATTCAATATCATCGACTTTAACTCCTCGGGAAACATAATCAGCTGGGTTTTGAGCGGTAGGAACATGACGCCATTCACAATCACCGGTTATTTCTAAAATGTCTCCGACGCGATTCCTTACAAACGTATTTAATTTACTTGGCAACATCTTAAGCCAACCTAATACAATGGAAGAGTCAGTCCAGAAAAATGTATTCGTAACTTTAATTCTTAACGAACTACAAACCTTTTTATATAGTTTTGCAGCCACTTGAGCTCCGCAAAGCTCGAGCCGTGGAATTGTAGTTGGTTTAATCGGTGCTACCCTACTTTTAGCTGTTAATAAACGTACTAATACATTACCGTTACGATCACTACTACGTATGTATAAACACGCACCGTATGCCCTTTCAGAGGCGTCCGAAAACACATGAATTTCTAATTGTTCATACGAGTTAATCATTACATGACGTGATACCCGTAAATTATTTAACACATTTAAATTTTTAGTAGCATCCATCCAGAGTGCTTGGATGTGCGAAGGAAGAGGTTCATCCCATGATAGACTTTGCAACCATAAACTTTGTAATATAATCTTAAATTTAATGACAACAGGAGAGAGAAGACCTAAAGGATCAAATATTTGTGAGATCACTGAAAGCAAACTACGTTTTGTGTTAGCCGCAGTAGAAAACCCAATTGGGAAATAAAGATCATCACAAACAGGTAACCAACCTAAACCTAAGGTCTTACTTGGCTCATTCCCCCCAACATTAAGATTATGCGAGGCTTCTGTTGCAGACTCTGAAATTAATTGAGGCTCATTAGACTTCCACTTTCGTAGGAATAAACCAGCTGAGCCCAGTGTAGTTATTACTTTTTCGCGAATATTCCTCACTACATCCAGATCATCCCCCCACTCAACAAATCATCGACGAGAAAATCATGGAGAATGACTTCTGCTATCTGGTGGTCTTGACATTCGAGTCCCAACTGTTTCAGACATCTTGTAGCGA